ATTTTATCGATTTTTTTGCAAAGTTTGAGCTATGGGCTGGGGCACGGGAGCAAGATGAGCATGCTGATTACGAATATGTTATTGACACCGAGCGGAGCCGGTTTTGCATGCTAGTATAAGATATGCATAAATTCCGAAGCAAAAAGCTTTTGAATGATACAAACAGTGTTCATCATAGATAGTGCCTTCCTCTAGAATTGCTGTACGAAACACGGGTAGAACTTTTAAAACAACTCAATACAAGCAATTTCATTACAACATGCGTATAAGCAATATTTTATTGGATAGGTCGATAAACAGCGCACTTTCAATTTTGCTCAAATTAGATGCTAATGAATTTGACTCATGCAGCAAGAGACATAACACTGCAATATTGTGACTAAAACGTCATGGCAATTATGTGCAATCAAACAAAGTGTCTCTTCGCTGTCAAAGATTCAAGTTTGAATTCAAGGAACTTTGGCAGCAACTGAAAGCGGATTTATGAATGTTACGTAGGTTACATAGAAGGACCCAATAAACGATGATGTTCTGGTGGAAACAAAAGGAAGCATATGTTAGTAAAAGGAAAAGGAAGAACGGTCTTTGTTGTTGACGAGGCAGTTATACGGTAACCGCATAGTGCTCATTTTGCAGTTTTCAAAATAATCTCTTTTGTAAGATCGGATGGAACCTCGTGCTGTTTTCATAAACATAAAATTAATAGAAAATTCTTCTTAGCTTTGTCATGTTTCTTAGTCACAATATATACAGCAAACTTGCCGAGGAGAAACTTGTATAAAAGAGGTTATCATGATGATCTTTATCAGCACAATGTTTCGCCTCTTACTACTTGTTCTGCTTTGCCAAGTAAGTAAAATTTAAATGTGTCCTTCCAAGGTTTGCAGAACAAGTAACTTTACAGGACAATGTTCGATAGAACTTTAAGTTTAAGCTATAAAAGACAACCTAATTTTTATCTACCACCAGATTTATGAGTCTTCTTCCGATGACTCCTCGCATTGGCCACATATACAAAAAGTTGAGGTCACAATTATAGGAAATTACTATATGCCCGAAGAAGAAGTCAAGGAGCATGTAAGTTTTTTGCTATTTTTACATCTTTAAAAAACTCCTTATTTCAGATCTATAACTACGGTCAACGCCATGGCCTTTCAGATGAGGAAATGCAGGTTCACCTTGTCGAAAAATGCGGTAACGATAGTTTATCTCCAAAAAGATTTGAAGTTCACGTCACGCAGTGCAACGACGTAAGTGCATTTTTGGTACTGCAGTGTGTACAATTGTGCTTCAGTTTCGAAAGTATTTGCTCCACGCTGGACGTTTCATGCACGACTTGAAAATGATCCATGTGAAATGCGACCATGCGCATTATGCTCACTGCTTGAAATCCATCTGCAAAGAAACGGACTACGTCGACCTGGTCAAGTGTGCTTACAATAACATGATATGAAAAGAGGAACCAAGAAAATAAAGTTCTAAGCAGCATAAGTGCGGAATACCCGTTTTTTGTGAAAATATCGGATAAGCTCACATATCAGAATTTCAAGATTTCCTTCAAATCGTCTGCATTCCTTCCAATCCAGCTCACAGATTTTCTGCCACCGTACTTATCAAGGATAGATTTTATATGTAGTATGCAGTATTAAATCTAATACATCACCCAGATACGCCTTCTCGAAGTTTGCATTGTTTTCTGCTGGAGTGGAAGGGCATACGCTAGAACTAGTACAAAAACTTTGAGTTTATAATCAAATAGTGACAGCTCAGACAATTTAACGGAACCTCCGCCGGACGTTTTC